CCCACACTGTATGATGTCATGCTCAGCATGTAAAGCTGGGGGAAGAAGAAGGAAGGGGGGGGACGTTCAGAGTGATGGTATTTGTCTTCCCAAGTCACCGTTACACGTGATGGAGCCCTGCTGTCCTGGAGATGGCTGAGCACCCACCTGCCGGCGGGAAGGAGGGAATGAATTCCTTGGTTTGCTTTGCTTTGCTTGTGTGCACGGCTTTTGCTTTACCTGTTAAATTGCCTTTATCTCAACCTCCAAGTTTTCTCACTTTTCCAATTCTCTTCTGATTCCAATCTCTTCTGATTCTCTCCCCCATCCCACTGGGGGCAAGTAAGCGAGAAGCTGCACGTGGGGCTTAATTGCCGGCTGGGTTAAACCACAATGGCTGGGCAGGCATGACCGAAGGCAGGATGACTTGGTTAGCTCCGCACGGCCCTGCATGCTGTGTGCAATAGATTTTGCTTCTGTAGCTGCTCCCGTGCCAAAGGTGTGTCTGGTTGCTCCTGCATAGCAGTCACAGAAATCTCTTGTCCACCTATGGCACGTACTGCGCTCTTTGACTTCTTGCGCTAGGTTTAAAGTATAGTGGAGCACACTGGGAAGCCTTGGGTGAGGTAGAAGCTCTTAGTCCTGAGTTACATCCTGTATGGTTGCCTGCAAATGCCCAAGTAATTCTCAGCCATACTATGTGCCTCAAACATCTGCCGTGATTCTGGCTCATAAATAATCCTTAACATAAAAAACAGGCATGTAACGAGCAACCTTTATTGTCAAAGTGCTATGCACAGAGTTACTGTGTTTGCACACCTCACTAAGCAGGAGTGATCTAACATCGAAGTGGGGCAGACAGAAGTGCAAGTAATGTTCCCTCCTCTGGTCCAAGGTAGGAAAATCCAGCTTGGCTTCTGACAGTTTTTGCTGACGTTCTGGGATTCACTTATGTTTGTATTAAAACTTGACAAAAATAAAGATGCAGTTAGTTTGTCTCTATTTTTTCCCTCTGTTTGTCAGCTGGGTGTAACTACTGTGTGGGGTTTTTTCCTGGATTGCTTATTCAGTGCATGTGGAAAAAATACTGAGTATTCGATATAGGCATAAACACAACTCCAGTTCCAAATTGGAGCCCTGGGTATCTGATGTGGATTCGCACCTGTTTTACGTGCTGTATGGCAGCTGTAGTCAGATTTCACAGCGTGCATATAAAAGTAGTACCATGTTTTATACATCTTAAAGAAACGGCAGTGATACACTGGATATAATCACGGTACGTGTGCCTTTAGATTAATATCTTCTAAAGTCTCGCGATTCCTGCCAACAATACATTCTGAGTACTTTAAATATGACACTGATGTTAAATCAGTTGTCAGTCTGTGTGAAAAAATTCAGCTGGAGTTAATGATTGGGCAATATGTAGCACACTTTTGCCATGGAAATGGAGTCTATTATTAGGCAGCTTGATATGTTTGGAAGTATGACTAGTGATCTGTGCTGGCTTCCTGATGTAACCCTACCCAGCAGCGAGGAAAGAGCCCTGGCTATTGAGGAGTTTGGTATTGCCACCGCAGGCAGTGTGTGTTAGGACTGCTAGCAACCGTGACTGTACTAGTCTTGACTTTAATTGGTAAACAAAACCTAAGATTTAATGTTTTGTTTTTTGCTTTTTACTTCTCTAGTTTTGCAGGGTTCCTTTCCAAGAAGAGCTTTCCAGAGATGCTGTAACTTGCGTATTATCTGAGAGCCTTTCCTTCTTCTGTTTGCCGTGCTTTGTTTGGATTGACCCATAGGTTCAAATCGTTTTTGGAAGGTGGCAGGAGAGGTACAACGTGATGATTGGTGCCTCATTTGCTTGAAAAGTAGCTCATCGGCATTGACAGGGTGGTGGAGGTAGGTAGGTACACAGTTCTGCCATGTAGAATTAAACTCTACATCCTCTGAGAGTGTTATGGTCCCTGAAAAACAGATCTGGAACAGAAGCTTAAATAATTACTCTTTATTGTAGAAGAAAAGTTATTGTTTATTGCATAAATTAATTGGTTATTGTGGAGTCAGTCATGAATAGAACATTTATCTTCTTATTTGCAGATCTTAAGAAAATTTATTGTAGTTACCAAAACACAAGACAAATGAAACTGCTAAGTTTTATTAGGTTTAAAGTCTATTCTGTGCCTTGCTCAATTGATGGTCTTTATGGTTAGCTGCAAAAATGGATTACGTTCCTTTGGTAGCCGTTAATTTGTCTACATCGTGCTGATCCTGGATTCCTGCACCATGTACTGATAATGTGCTGAGTAAGGGCTACAGATCATATGCCATAAAAATTGATTGAGATGTTTGCGTAGCATTAAACTGACACTGAGGTATTTTTTTATTGGAAAAATATTTCACTTAAGGCCTTTCAGGAGGGCCTTTCACATATATAAATGGTGAGTATGTGGGGCTGAGCATGATACTGGCCAGATTAAAAATGGCAAAACGATAAATGATACAGAAATTGGACACGTATGTCAAAGAAAGTGGCAAAAGCTGCTTTCTCCTATGAAACAGAATTCCGCAGATTCAAAGGACTTATTTCAGCGATGTTTTGCTGTAGACTCAGTTATGCTGAAGAGCCAAGTTAAAGACTTGCCAGTCTTCTTACAAGAAATACTTTAGAGACATGTCAGTGTGCTCTCTGTTTACCGAAATCCATTTTGCTTTTTACATTTTTTTTTTGGAAGAAAGATATTTGTGCTTTTAAATGACGACTTTTAAACAATTTAAACAGTTCTCAGAAGCTGATACACACATGCTCGCCTTGTATCGTGCTATGTCATGTAATAAACTTGTTGCAGGAACTAAATCATAGACTCATAGAATGATTTGAGTTGGAAGGGACCCTTAAAGATCTTCTAATTTAACTCCGCTGCCATGACAAAGTGATTTCAAGTTTCTCTAAATAGCTGGTCTGTTTGTCGTTTGTTTTTGCTTTCATGGCTCTGTGGGGAAGGCTTTGACTCCTTTCTTTGATGTCCTCCTTGTAAGGCCTCACCTTTTCTGCAATGGCTTCTCATGTTATTTTTCTTTAGTGTGTTCATAGTTTTTTGCATAGTTTTGTTCGTTGTGTGGAGTATTTGCTTGTTTGGTTTTTTTCTCATTAGTATTAAATAATCACATCAGTCCAAATTGACTTTATTAGCCCTAAAATAATTTTGTGTTACCAGAACCTAAAGGCCAAGATGTCTGAAGTGAGCAACTTGCTGAAATTCTTGGCCAGAGCTATAGAAAGAGCATGAAATACAACTGGTGTGAATGCAGATCTCTCAACTTCTCTGCCTGCAGATGGTCCAGACTTCATTTAATGAGGAATGGGAGGGAGTCTTGTGCATGTGTGATAAGGAAGAGTGAAGACGGGGCAAATCTTTTGGCTCTGGGGTCTCACTGCTGTGCTTGCTTCTCTGTGGATCTCCTGTGTCAGGTGCAGCTTTTGGGCTGTGTGTGCTGCAGTTCTGTGAGCCTAGAGTAGGGTGAGAGGTAGGGGAACCGCGTGCCCGGAGTGTGAGATTTAACACTCGGGTACCTCCGGTCTCCTCCCTTAGCATGC